TTGCGATTCATACGGAACAAAATGAGTGGCATTGGAAAAGCGTTGTTGCCTTTTGTTAAAAGACTATATTCGTGAACCAGCAGTTTTTCCGCGAATCTCGATCCATATCGTTAATCCAACTATATACAGCAACAGCAAATAAATTTAAAAAATAAATTGAAAATTAGAGAGTCATCCTCCACAGTATTTCATGCTGCCATATTGGCGATTTGCAATAGTATAATATTTGTCAACGGCGTCTTAAAAAACCGGTTCAGAAGAGTTATAAAAGCGAAAAAAAAAATTTTGTTTGCAGTGCTAGTCAATTTCATAGGATGCCCCAATACCAAAAAAAAATCTCTAACAACGTTGTTACGGCATAGACCCTGAGCAGAAACCGAATATCAATACGATTTGCTTTAATCCCACGAAGTATAAAAAAAAGCCGTTCCCATACTTAAAATTATCGTCATTGAGTAATAAATAGATGAATTTTGATGACGCTGGAATTTCACCTCATCTATACCAAATATCTTATGACCTTTGCGTGATTTATTATAATGTTACGGATTTTCGTTTCACGAGATTGAATGATATAAAAACGAGGTAATTAATTTATGAATGCGATGAGCTTGTGCTAGAAATAGCATCAAATAATCAATACATACCGCGGTGGACTAAATGCCTTCATTCAAATCACTTTACTTATTGGCCTCAATTCAGAAATTTGTACAGAGGCCTAATTCAGTATCAGCAGTAATTGAATGCAAACCTTCATCCACTGCACCGTCATCTTTGATCAAGAACGATCTACTAATCTGAATTATTTTTACCCTTAGATACGACAATCGGTCCGATCATTTTGAAACATGAACCATATACGGTTCATATGGAATATACTGTGAACCAAGTAAGGTTATAAGTACTTATAATGTTGTGAATTCTGCTGTGTCATTTTAGGTCACGTGTCAAAATTCATACTAAATTATATCTTGAATCAAAATTCATTTTGGTACATCGATTCTTATATGTTTAACAAGCAATTTCCAAGAAGTGATTAACAAACCCATAAGTTCAAGGGAAAATCAAACATAAAAATAGGGCAACTGAATCACTTACGCACAAGTTCAACTCACTTTGGCGCTTCGTCGCTATATATGCTAGATTTCGTTAGAATAAAGCAATGTTATTCTATTATCAAAAAGCATTAAAAAATTAGAAAAGATTGGTCATCGCATAGCTACTAAAATCCGAAAAAATCCTGCAACTAAAATACGAAAAACATCAAGGAACCATTTTCATCCAAATAATATTATTTGGTCGAAGTACTCTTAGTGACTTTTTATGTAACCTTCGGCGGTCGCCATCATCGACGTTTGAGTAAATCAGATTAAGTGGTATCGAGCTCCTGAAGTCATTACATCATTTGTTAAATTCCTAAATTCAATGCTCGCTTTACGAAGATGAAATGAACGAGAGAGAGCTCACGAATATAGACCACAAAATTATCGGTACCATAAGAATACGCGTTCTGTGGGCATTCTCCCGCCGAAATTCACCGACAAAAAATCCAGGCAGAACAACATCAAACTGCGGGGCAAAACAACGAACTTTGCGGATTCCAGAGAATATTATTTAAAACAATAAAGTCGAAGAATAAATATCGCAGTAGTCAAGTTTGTAAAATCTTCCTTAATGTCGTATTTCCATATATATTGTCCTTATTTAGTTACCTGTTTAGTCAATAATTTTTTTTAGAACCAATGATATAAGAATTTTCCTGAACCTAAATGCAGTATAGGAGCCCCCGCTGAAAAAAACACCCCCGTTACCCCTCAAAATAAAAAGAAGTATACGGCGAGAGGCCACCATTGAGACAATTCATGCATCTTTTGACCAAGCCACATTAAAAAACCAACCCACATCTGTCAAGTATTCCTCATTGTTTTGTTGCACCATTCCTCTGTGATATTTTGATCATGAAAAAAGAAACTTTTCATTGCTAAAACTTTAATCGTAATTAATACGTTTAAGTCAACAAATAATTGTTCGCCTACATAATTTTGTCTTTTAACCTATTAATTAAAATCCAATTTTCAGCAAATGGAGGCATGTAGATTGTAGACTGTTACTAATTATTAAACCGATATTATTAACAAACACTTGAATATAGCTAATTTATGCCTCTGGGTAGTTGGTCAACCAGATGATTGGTCCACCCCATGTGATGATTATACTTGGCAAATAGTAAGTTAGTAACAGGTTGTTTCAAGGTTTGAAAAACACTGATTAGCGTCTGGAAAACAATTTCAAGTGATTTAAATTGCCACTTTAAATACCGCAAATGTCAAAGTGAAAGAAATGAAAAATAAATTGAAATTAACTGATTATGAAACTCGCAATCTCTTTTAGTTGTTAATCAGCTGTTTGACGCATACATTCCAGGAAAAACAATTTCACTCGGGAATTTCTTGCAAAATGTTAATAGTGGACGGTTACTTATTTGAATTCAATGGTTCACCGACCCTGTTGCCATTAATAAAAGACATGCACAATAGTATAGTGAACAAATGCGATTCACTTTTCAAAACAACTTTCTTATCGTATTCGATTCAAACATCAACCTTCCTTGATTGGTTATTTGTGAAAGATGGGAGTTTTAGTCGTCGAATTGGAAGCGAATTTGTCGCACGCGACTAAGATAACTTTTCATTCACATGGGCGTCATATAGGGTATCTTGTTACAATATCACAATACCCCCACAATAATAAATAGTAAAATTATTCCAGCATTGGTCATAAATAACTATAGGTGTGAGTGGAAATAATGCTCAGTGATGTATAGTTTTAGCTCTGTGTACATTTTCAGATATAATGTAATACTAATACAATATTGTATTCCAGTTTAAGCCACAATAGTAGAGATATACTGTTACGTATAACATATCTTGCTTTATTTTATATTTAGAAATCTGTATTGTTTAGATGTCATACAAAACATAGTCTACTACAAATCAAATACACGAGAGATGCGCGTGCGTCATAACAATCTCCACAGTGGTAACAATGCCTTTTGTTTGTTCGCGTTTACTTATGTTAATGTCGACCCTTCTTTCCATCCATGGATATTTTGTGTAAAATAGTAATGCTGTGACATTTTGTTCTCGCCTCTATGTCCGATCAGATAATCTTGATTCCAAGCACGATTGTAGAATATTATATATATATATATATATATAAATATAATATTTAAGTTTCAAATTCTTCTTAAAATATGTTGATCTGAAGGATAATATAATCTTACGAAAAAACTGATCAAGTTCAAACTATGCATGTTGTGAAAATTTTTGTTTGCTTGTTATTTTTTAAATTTCGCTGTAATTGTCCGGATAATCGTTGCCAAAACGTAGGTACTAAACATAGTTTGAGTATTTTGTGATAAATCAGATTAGATATTTCATCGCATACGACAGATGGCATATTTTGTGGAAAAATCCATTTCAAAAGAACTTTTCGTGTTCATTTTTAAACATTTGCCCAGAATTTTTTTTTTGAGAAAATTAACAATAAAAAAATTGGAATATTCTGCTGTGTTTATATATATATATTAATTCAGCCGGCTGCAATTAGGTCTAACTCGACAGTGCGTCAGTTTATTGATACAAGCAAATAATGACCCAGGGGAACAAAGATTCCTTCCGATTTAGCGACCACAAACCTCAATTGCAAGCAACTGTTGAACTCTTGCCTGAAGTCGGAAGACGTCTGTCAACCATACGTCACTGTATTGAAATTCTTCAAAACTGAGGTCGCTCAATGCAGTTGAGTTAGAATTCATTGCCTCATTCACCATTTTATCAAATTTGTTTGCAACGATAATAACGTCTCAATAGGGACACCAAGTGACGCATTGTCATATATTGCATTTTAACTCTGGAATACTTGAACGCGCGGGTGGAAACTTAACTAGAACAGGGAGTGAATAATATTGACAGGATTAGAATTGCTCAGTTTGAAGTTTTAGCTAAACTGTTAAAATTATTAGCTCCTTGAATTTTTGTCGAATATTCTAAAAGCTGCAACACAACTTTGATAATTAGAATTGGATATGAAGTGGACCTGATGTATCGTATTGCTAAATTGTTGTTGGATTGTTGTTATTGTTGTCGTGAATTTTTCCGCAACTAAAGGACCAACAATCGATTCTGAATTTTCAGTAATAAAAAATAAACGAAAGGTTTATACCGGTATTAGTTTTTCATATTTCTTCTGAATGTGTTTTGCTGCTTATTTTTAATTCCCAGGTGTAGTTTTGACAATTAACTTTCGTGTCATCCTGTCAGACAAGTACGCCATCTTTTCGAAAAGCCTAGAGCTCAACTGACACTTCATATCGTCACCGATGTGAATTGGTACAGTGCTGGGACTTAAATTGTAATTTTGATTCAATGCAATCGAATGGTAAGATGAAGAGATTTCTGGGGCATAGGTTACTGCTGCAACACGTATGTAATTAAAATTTGTGTCTTATCTCATTCACTCTGCGTTTTAAATTATGTTTTTAGAATGTGGATGTTAATTCAAAAATATTAGAAGTACTGGATAAATAAATGTAAAGCTTGAAAATAATTGCATCTACGTTATATACACTACTGTAATAATGAATTTTTCTTTCTACATCTTCCTCGACAAATAAAGTTTTTCAATGGAACGTTTTCTAATTTCTTTTGTTGATATTTGTTACATCAAACGAAGTTTGGCTGAGACGTTGTAAGTTAGTAATAAATACATTTGCAAATACGATATGAATACTCTATTTAAAGAGTTCAATTCCTGTACTATATATAGTGAGATTTGGTGTAAATGAAACAAAGTTGTTGACATACCCAGATGATCTACTGAAGTTATTTCACTGAGATAGAGTAATAGAGTGATATATATTTGAATGACATTAATGCAGATATGGGTACACAACTTACAATGCGATTTATTCTGATCTGGCAGCTCAATACAACGAGAAGTGATATTAGTCAAAAATTTTTTATTAATCTTCCGACAATTGCACAAATCCCAAATCGGAAAAAAAACACAGCACAACTGAAGAACCGTATGCAAACGTTAAAGGAAAAACAAGGAAGTATACATGTTAAGTTAAAATCTCAGCTAAATTATCTCAGCAAATGCCGATGCAGATTATATTAAATTTGAAAATCAGAAAATATTGTTTTTGTTGGCAAGTTATGTAATATTGCGGTATATGATTAATATACATTACATATTTATAAATCAAGCTTGATTAAATTGATTTGTATATCATTACACTGTTTTCCCCGGTAAAGTAAAATTCCAAATACGAAATTAGGTAATAAAAGATGGTGTCATTAATTCCAGCCGATCTTGTTGTTGAGTCGCTTGTTTTCTGCTTTTAACCACGTGATCAAAGGATGGAAATATTTCTCGACAGAATCGACACTCATCTTTGTAGTTCCTGTCAACTCTTTTAAAGCTTGAGGCCACGGCTTGCTGTCACCCATTTCAAGCATTTTCCTATGAATGAAAGTTTATAATTTGTTAATGGAAACTGATACCGAATATCCAGAGTTTTGAAAAGTATTCCACAAATTAATAGAATTCTCAACAGATCTGTAAAAGAATTTTCTATCATGTTGTGCTCCTTTGTGATAGTTGAAATCTTAAATGCGACACATCTATTATAAAATGAAGCTTACTTGAATTTTTCTCCTGCGGCCAAAGATCCCGCGAAATCACATTTGAACAAAGGACCTTTGAATTTGGCAAGATCACAGAGAGCTTCGAAAAATTGGAATTGCAACACATGACTCACAAAATATCTATGAAATAAAGTAAATTAAATAGTTAAATAAAACACTCAATCCTACAAATCAATGTTTGTGTATTTAAATGTAGGCCTAATTCGTCTATGAGCACATTCAATGATGCGTGTTCAAAATTATGATTAATTATTTGTCACAACTATTATGGAGATAGTCATACAATCATGTTATATTGCTATAAACCATATATTACTTATTTTATTAACTAACGTTAGGCAAATCTATAGTAGGCTAGAAGTTTAAAAAATTATAAGTAATAAGCTGTATTGCTTTCTGAATAAATCGAAGACAGTCCGACAGTCAAATATTGGTTCAAAAATCATGTTATCGTTTCATGAATACACAAAAATTGTGAATAGATGAAAGATTCTCTATCAATGTTTTTATCTTCGTTGTTATCTTACCTAACATAAGGTACAAAGTTTGCTATATGATATTTGCATCCCGGATCAAAATCTTGCTCAGTCCGATCCACGGGTGGCACTAACCCTTGGTATTGTTTTCTGAAAATTGATTAAAATTTGATTAAAAATTTTATAAACCAAACCTTGGTATTGTTTCCTGAAAATTGATTAACATTGGATAAAGTGTTATAAACCAATGCTGAGACGGCACAGTTGTAAATTTCAATTTTTGAACTGCTCCTTATCATTGTAGGTGAAAATTACTGCAGGTCTTGTGATACTTGTGAAAACTTGAAAATCAATACAATAATCAGGGTATGGTTCGTGGCGATTTTTTTCACAAAAACATTAAGAAGAAGAATGATAACAACAACGACAACAGTTTAACACAACGATCCGTAGGTCCATTTCGTGTCCAATAAGTAGTTACGCACAGGCATAGCTACTACAGATTAAACCGATTCGAAACTATTAAAAAGTGGTTGAGTATGGATAGTATGACGTATTTTGACCTGGGCAACAAAGGCTAACAAAATTAGGGATTTATCTTACCTATACTGCCACCACGCGTCATTAATATTTTCTTGTTTTATCTTTCCACTGTAAACATTCCAATACCACTTTGCCATTGTCAAAGCAAATGGGTAAAAAACGAGTTTTCCAAGAGCTTTTTTCATTAAGAAATTGATATCACGTTCTAAATGAGAAATTTAAGCGGAAATTAAAATATTGTAAAAATGATATATTCTATATTTGAAGAGTTTCTATATTCAAAATCTATTTGAGGTATAATGCGGTTAGCACAAGCATTGCTTGAATCCGCTATATGAATAATCTGGTGACCGTACATTTGAACCCATGTGTATATCCGCGGGTTCAATCTATATGCGAGTGCAAAAACCCATGGGTCAGGGTTAGTATTGGTTAAAATATCCGTAAAACAACAAAAAATACAATAGTATGCAGGTGCAATAGTATGCAGGTGCAATTGTCGTGGGTTTAAATGTACGTAGGTTCAAATGTAATGGAACCGAATAATCTTATTGGACCATGACTACTTGGCGGGCCACGTGAGAGCGGTATCGCACCAATCTATCTTCCTCAGTGCGTCACTGCAGCTTTGCTGTTTTTGTTATTCTTCTGCAAATCTAGGATTCGAAATGTTCTTATATTTATTTGTATAATTGTTACTAATTCACTGGATAGCTGCCATGTTTGTGTGTGGATCAAATAGTAGTGGGTGGTAATAGTATAATTATAATCAACATGACATTAGTGGGCAGGCTGCAGTTCATATAACTTACTTTTCCGCTCTAATGCCGTTCCCGTACTGTATTTTAAGAGTTTCAGTTTTTCCAAATGGGTTGGTGAAATCACTGATAATGCAGCGGTGTCGCCAATCGCTTCGTGAAAACCATGGTTTGCTCCGGACTTTAAAAAAAGAATTGAAGGCTTGTTTCTCAAATTACATTGATTTTGTCGGTTATTACAACTCACAGAAACATAATTTTATCTTTCGCATACGGCATACGTGATTATTTCATTAAAAGAATTGGTTACCGGTAGAGAACAGAATCCGCCTATCACAGAAGTAATATATCATATGGCGATAGTACCGTATATGAATTGTGTGATTCCTACCTGAAATAATGATGGCTGATGTCTATTATATGCCAGATAATATTGGCAATGTCCCATCTCATGATGAACAACGTATAAATATTCTCCCGATACCGTGGCGCACATTTTTATCCTGGAAATACAATTAATAATCAATCATATAATTTGAAGTAATTTTAACCTATTTTTTTTTAATTTAAGACTGTTGTTGATAGATTCTTCAATCACTTAGAAAACTGTTATTTACCTGTAAATCATGTTATAAATGGAAATAAATTTGTGTTCGAATTCTGCAGTAAAATTTCTTATTCATGAACAGTACTTTATTCCGATAGTACTACTAACTATCGATTATTAATCCATTCATAGTTGTCCATATGTAATTTATATCAGTGTAATGACTTATTGCATGAATGATATTTATATCAACACTCAATTAGCGTAAATGAAAATCGTCCTCACGTTCGTCTAATTTCTAGATACAGACCTGACGTCATCTCGCTCCAGATTGTGAGCAGATGCGTAACACACAACAGATCTGTTATCTTTCGGTCTGGTAAACATACTGTTCTTCCAAAATTCTGGCGTCATTTTAGGTAACCCTGAAACAGACTTTGAGCTTTATTTCTGAAGAATATATATACTTGTTTTGTGTACTTTGAAAAAGACTAATTAAAAACAAACAACAATTTATTGTTGGGGCGCTGGTGAAGAGGGATAAGTTCGTTTGCCGCCTTCAATTACATAATCTAAGGTCTAAATAGTTTAAAATACATATGTCGTTTATTCAGTAATGTTTGCAACTCACTAAAGTTCAAGTGGAATCTCCACCCATCTGTTAGAGGTAGGTGTACAAAAAATCAATATGAAAAGTTTTTATTGGCATCTACAGGCAACGATTACAGGGCAAAAAAATCATTTCAGATCCCACTCTATTCAATGATAAACACTGTAAAACAGTGTTATTGTAATCGTATGACTATTTAATATCAAGTAATATTATCTGAAATATTTTTCATGTAACTCTTTGTCGCACTATAAACATAAACTTACCAAGTGAACGGTAAAAATGATCTGCCAGGTGGAACATGTCCATAACAGTCATATTCTTATCTTTCATTTCTTTTGTAACGTCAAATGGTTCAACATCCGCAAATGGGGATAAAATATCGAAAATACCATCCCATTTCATTGCCCACATATCACCTGTATGAATGAAGTTTTTCTAATTTATCAGTTTCACTGTTACGTTGTCTATGTTACGTTAATTACCAACTGGGATAATCTAGCTTGTAGGAACGTGGGTTTCAAACCTCGTACAAAAAAACCGACAACAACGGCAGCATATCAAATGAATTGAATAGTCAATTACTGGAAATCCGGAATGAGAGCGTTGTTTACGTTGGTGCGATTTCGCTTGAATCCCAACTACCGAAACAATAGCACCTCACCCTACAGGATTCTGGCCTGAGCCTTTTCAATTTTTTCGCAGTTTAGCTCTATTATTCTTTCTCTATACAAGTACTACGGTTCTTACTTCACTGGTTGTTGGAACTGATTCAATAGTTTAACGCTTGAATATATATTCGCATTGAAAAAGCCCAAATAATTATGATGTTACAGAACATTTTATGGTTGATATTATAAAACTTATCTTTTTTATCATGTTGAGCAATGAAAAGCAACCAATCGACGTTTCATTCAACGGTCAAATCATCTTAATGGTAGTTTCGACTTGACAATCAGTAAAGTTTTCGAATCGTACTTTGCCATTATAAATATTCATGAGTGCTTAAAATATGTCATGTCATATGAATGCCAATGTATATGAAACAACATATCTCCCGTCATTTTGGATTCATATGACTACAATCCTAAATCTTTGCAGCGGTACAAAATACACTTGGGACCTTGTTACAACGTTACTTCTCAATGCCTGAAGATTTTTACACGATAAAACACAGCGGTCTGTTGCGCTAAAATTCGAGAAATTCAGTTTCACGTTGTTACGTTTCTTGTGGAAACATTGTGAGATCATTCAGAAAGTCATTACATTAGTAACATGAAATGTGAATTATTTATTGCAATTCTAATGGTATTTGAATGTATGAATTCCCACCTAAAAGATGTGCAGGTATTGGTTTGTCCAAAGCAACCCGATCTCCGTATTTCTGGTGAAGTTTGTATCTTACATAAGCATGAACTTCTTTGTAAATTGGTTCCAGCTTTTTCCATAAATCATCGATATCTTTTTCAAAATCTGGGTCTTCATACTGATGTCTTCGATATTCCCCAACATCGTGGTATCCTGAAGTTGGAAAAAATATCAACGCTCGATAATATGGACATATAGGTCGAATGACTAATATATATGGCCACCGCAATGTGAGCAAAATTTTAGCTAAATGCTGAAAAAAAAATTCACCGATATCTTATGAAATTGAGTGTGCGAATTGTAAAAAACAGCAAAATTTGAGGTGAAGAATCAAAATTAACTAAAAATGACTTCGTTCATATCTAAGCACTAAAAATTAGAAAGTGATTGGTCGAATTGATATGAACCGTTTTCCGTTTTTTGGGGGGAAGAAATCAAAAAATCTCCGCGTTCAATAAAAAACGTCAAAGTGTGCATGAACAGTATACTATGTGTTAAGTTTTTTCTTATCCATGAGCTATCTATCGTTTGCTACCAGATTCCTATGATGTTATCACAAATTGGTATGTATTTTTGTAATACAAAAAAAATAACACATTCAAAAATAAAACCCTCGCTCGATCAGAAATCGAGTTTTAGTTAGGTTATCGATTCGCAAATTTCTAAATCAAATAGTTCGTCACAAAAAATGAATACGTCAACCATGACCACTTCAACATTTAAAATTGGCAAAACCAAATCCCCTGTGGCCACATTATCATACCATGTTCTCGTGCTCCTTTGTTCGATACCTCCATCGCCGCGATCCAATCTTTCCTAATCTTGGGACCAATAGCGTCACGCCATCCCTTCCATGCCCAACGAAGCTCACTGAAAAAATAAATAATGAGAAATATCATTTGTTGAGCCATCTGACACCGGGCTTGGCTCAAGTTATAAACTGAGCTGTTTGATCCTATGAACAACCTATTGATTTAATTATAGAGCCCCAGGTCTCGAAGTCAAATTTAGACGAGTCTTTTAGTCATAAACTTTATATAGAATTTTTTGGTCACAAACAGTTCATTTGTAACGATTGGAAAATTTACAAATCCGAGTCAAACGTTTCGGTGGCATTTTAATATCGCCATATACAGTATATCTTTTATCACGGAGACATAAACGACGGAGATTATTATTAGATTATTAACAAGACACTATATTTTGAATATAATTTTGCAAGAATCTTATATAGAAACTTGTCATAATGGAATAATAGTCAGTGCGATGTTTAGTTCAGAAAAATGGCCAACAAAGTAATAATTCATTATCTTAAGAAAAACGCCACTCTTCAGTTCTGTTGTTAGTTTATTGCATAAATATACTTACTCATAATCACGAGAAGTTTCCATAAGTTTGATAAGTCCCGGTTCAAAATGGTAACACTTCCCAGACGTACTGTTACAAACTTCCGCTTTGCTGTATATTTCACTTATTTTGCTTTCAAGATTCACTTCTTTTCTAAAAATATAAATATTACTTTTTGTAAAAAAGTTATTTCTGAATTAGAAAATGTTTTACAAACAAAATGGCATAAGTATAGGTGATAGTTACAAAATTGGAGAAATAAATTTGTAGAAAAAGCAAGAGTGCAATTTTGAGAAATGACATGTAAGAAAATAATATAAAATTAACTAATTCAAACGAAGAGTAATATTGAAAATTTTATATATTCCAAAATAGATCAATTTTATTCTTCAAAATTTCAAGACTTACTTATTCAAATAGGGTTCCATCAAGGCATCTGTATCAGTCACAAATCGCAACATTCTTTTTTGTTCGTAATTTAAACCATTTGTACTAAATTTATCGGCTTCTAATCTACGCTTCTTCGCCCAAGCCGACATTTCCAAAGACGACTGAAACAATGTTTAAAAAAAATTTAATTTTGCTATATATATATTAAACTACCATTGTCAGTGAGTACAAAACGGTATTTGCTGCCTCACTGTTTTGACATGGGCATATAAATTGGTTATTTCCACTGAATGATATGATGAATATCTGAATGCAAAAATACAGAAAACCTCATGAAATCATTTTTTTTTTATGAATATCGTCATTTATGACACCGTCTCCAGAATCTATATAAAACTAATCATGTAATACAATTCATTGCTTACCTTCTTAGCAATTTCAATATTATAAGAAGTTAGGTTTGTTTCTTTAATCCACTCCGTTAACCCACTTTTTTTTCTCCATTCACTGAGCTCTTTTTGATACGTTTTCAAAAACTTGGAAACCTTGGCCGCGTCTAAAATGAATAATCAAAATAAAAGTCCCGTACAAATAATTTAATAAAAGAACTCACGCAGACGTAATTTTTCTGACAAAGTATTTAAGTAAACACAAATGTGTGCAACATTGTAGTATTATTAAAACCGACCCAAATTACACCCGACCCGAATCTATTCATTTTTGTACTATCTGCGTCACAGTGTTTGATTCGTGATGTAATCCAATTTCTATCTAAAACATTATATATATTAAATGGAGTTTGATAAATTACTGGTTCCCCGCTATTCTTTAATTAACAATTATATGTTTTTGGTTTACGTAAAGCGTTTGTTGTTGGAAAAATAGATTAGCATTATGCAAAATTGAGAATTTTCCATTCGTCGAAATTCATGTATTATTAATGTATATCGTCCTAGAGGGCGTCCATCTTTATTTTTCATCGCCAAAACTACAAGACGAAAGACAGATCCTAATATATGTAAGCCAAGCATGGATCACATTAGGACATTCCATTCATTCGAGGCCCATGTATGACGAACAGTTTTAATTTAACGCCGAATAATTTAATTAAATTGGACGGAAGAAACCATTGGAATTTAAACTGATTTCACAAATAAACGAAGCAGAAAATTTGTTATTTTCCTATATTGAATGAAATTTGCGGATTGTTATAAAGCAAAACTAGATGAACTCTAAAATATACATATATGCTTGATATGCGCAATATCATTATATATTATCTGAAAGCAAAGGCACTGTTTTAATTGAAGCTGCAGGCAGCTACTGGAGGGGTAAAACCTACGTCAATATTGATATAAAAATAATAATAAGATTTGATATTGCCCGAATAAAATTCATAAAATAAAATATGCGTGTTGGTGTTTAGATTCTATGAATGTGCTTCATATTTAATTTTTACAACAAAACACATGCTTACGCACAGAAACATAGACAGTAATCACGACTAGTAGTTTTTTTCGTTACTGTATTTTTAATAATTAATCATTGAATAAACTATACCGCACAATGCATACAATGCAAAGCCCAATTGCCAATTGCCCTGAAAAACAAAATCCAGGCCATTTGGAACATATTCTAGAACAAGGTGGTCCAAGGTTGTCGGCTCCTCGGCCACAAAATTATTTTTGCATTGTTCGCGGGCCACAATAGTGCCAAGAATAGGTAAACAGTGCAATACAAAACAAACACTTTTATTGTGCAAACATAATTATCAGGCATAGCCATTCTAGGCTAATAGAATCCGCATTCAATATTTAGTTTTCTCTGATTCCTATATTGTTAGCATATATTCCCGACCAAAAAGTTAGATAGCTAGATAACAATTCAGACTGCCAAGCACATCATTCAAATTTCAGTTTTGCTAGTTGCCTCAGCTAGCCTTAACACTATTTAATTCAGTGACATTAGTGATGACAGTATGTCAAAAGATTTTTTTGAATAATTTTATGACGAAACAACACGAAATGCGATTTTTTGATTACTCTCCGAATGTGACGCGGGCCACAGATAATGAAGCGGCGGGCCACATGTGGCCCGCGGGCCTGGGTTTGGACCACCCTGTTCTAGAACATAACTGTTGTACAAGTCTTCCTAGATTACTGAAAGGTTTTGATACAATCATACACTAACAGAAGTTCAAGTGTTAAATGAATTTTCTCTTTTTTCTGCTAAGGAATAATTTCAATAATTTTTCGCACGCAATACGTTTAGTCAAATACATCCACACTGAAATCGAAATCAAAATTTTTTTTCCGTTAAATCTTATATTACAAAATGCATCCAACGAACTTGTAATCTATATTGTTGTAACAAAGATCATTCTCATTAAAATTTAAAACAAATAAGTAGGGTAACCAAGCTTGATAAGTACTGGTTGTCTGGCTTCTGACAAAAAAATGTTTTACGATCGAAAATGAAATAAATGAGTCGCATTATCATTTCAAGATACATATTGGCCAAAAACTTTATCATGCAAAAGTTATACAATTTTTTGTAAGCTTGTATAATTCTGGTGGGAAATTACAATCATTCGTTATAATCTACCCCCAACATAAAATATGTGTGAACTAGAATAAACATGCGATTTCATATAGTTTTGCGACGGCGATGAGTATCTCGACGACTGAGAGTAATTGATCATCTGTTTGTAATTCTATATTATCGGTGTCGGATTGTTTCAAGAACGGTATCTTTTACATACGAGTAAAGCCAGGACTGTGACAAATAATTTTCTTTTTTGGTGTTTTATTGATTATCGGAAATAAACTGCTGCTTCTATCTATAATGTATAGATCTGCATTCGTTTTGTTGACTCTCGAAATTACTCATATAAATAAATTACACATTTAAAAATTTTCTGACGTATTTTCGAAACTTGACTATGTCCACAACATTCAAATTGAAAAATTATTCAATTGATACGAAAATTCCAGCACTACTCAAAAAACAATGATTATTCTTTACTGGGATGAGCGTCAGTTCTTGCATATTTTTAATATATGTATAGTATTATATATTTGCTTCATATGTGTACATATATGTTCAGTTTGTATACAACTGTATAGTATTGTTAATAACAAATCGTAAAAATCCCATTGGACTTTTTACTCACTGGATTTTTTTCCATCAATATTATCCACAATGTCGATTTCAAAGTGAGCCAAAATTTGATCTAGTAAACTTTCGTCGGAATCTGTAAAAATTATAATGAGCATAACAATAATACTATTTAAAATATTTATTTTATAAAAAGTTAATATAGTTACCACCATAAGCAATGTATATTCCGATTATAAGTCGAAATAAAATATTGCGTCAACTCGAAATGTTCGACAGAAGAATATGATGGCAAAATTTTAATCGGTGACATTGAGTCAAATCATTAAGAATTTTGTTGTGCATCGTGTACCAAAATATGGTCGCAAATCGGTTATATTTGCGATATTACACTAGCTTTTTAGAATTGAACGATTTCCCTATTTTTATGAATATTTTGCATGTTTTTTCAGTATATAAACCCTTTCGCTTACCGGAAAACATTTCTTCTTCCGACTCTTCAGCAGGGTGATCATGTTCTTTATATCTTTCCGTATTGTCGTATTCGCCGTCATGCTTTGCCTGACTGTATTGGTCTTTCATGATTAAATCTCTGAGCCAATCAAGAAGCTCATCTGATTCTGACCTTTGAAAATCGTCGTTTTGATAACTTCGTTGGCTGTCAATGAATTTTTTCAATACATCCTGCTTTTCCAGTTCTTCTTCATCGGCATCAAAACCATCACTGAAGCGTACCGAGCTCACCAAACTGCACAAAAATGCTATCAACACCGCCAATACATACAGTTTCCGCATGGTCTTCCCTCCGTTGCGATATTCGTCTTTTCGACTGTAATTACCACTTCTCCATTCTACCATCTCATTCACAAGCTCTCTAAAGTTCTTCGACTCTCAAGTCTTAATTTTACAATGTTGTACACAGTATATTTATATATTGAATATGTTATAGCTTTAAAGATTATAAAAATAAACTTTTGAAACAATATACTCAAAAAACAGACGACGAACGAAAAAAAAGTGTCTTTCATATAACTTTGCGAGAAAAGAATTACAACAAGACGTATTTCCTCTTATTGAACACATAGTGCACATGAATTGTTTTGCTAAAACGTTGTTGCTGTCACAATGACATTTGTTGTTGAGAAATTTGGTAAAGCGACATTCTTTGTCGCTTTTCTCTAAAAGTTTTCAACCAATTGTTGAAACCAATCTTTGAAAATTTCTGCATTAAATCGCACCTTCGCTCCATTGAATAAAAATAAATTCACTGGATCAGAAAAGAATTGAAACTACTACTCATTCCAGCAGACAAAACCCATTGCGATGCTCCTCGATGAGTTATTTATTGGGTTTGTGATAAACAACGGGCGCGGTCATTGTGTCCTCTTTATGTCGCAGAGATAATTTTTAAAGGAATCAAACTGCGGTTAATAGTACAAAAATGGTGTCAACCCGTCTCCAGTACACGGCTTAGAAATGCCAGACAATTTTTTCCAACGACATGCTAGGCTCACGTCCTAGTCTCGTGTACGATTAATTTGTCAATCCTAAATCGTTGACTCTCACATAAGAACATGAATAATTTATTATAGATGAAAGTATTCATAGCGGTAATCCATCAGCAGTAACGTATTACAATACATAAAATATATTAATAATGAATCAATCTTTTGTTTATAGAATTGTATAATATGAGTGGATTTTATTCAAGATAAGGTTAGGCTTTGTTCAAAAGTAGCTATTTTATTGAAAGCTTAACACATTAAGTTATTTAACCAACCCATAGGTGAGAATTGATTTATCACTATTTGGTCGGAGTATTATGAGGATAACTCGTCAAATTTTGTGTATATACTGTTGGTTTAACAAATATTATTTTGAGACACAGCGCACACATAAGTCACACTGTGCATTACGGCAACGAGAGCCTATCTTAGCATATCGATACTAGATATTAGTTTTGTACGCTTTTGACAACATAAATGGAAGAGCTTGCATATAGTTTTAATATACTCATGGTATTTTTAGCACCTTCGATACAAACTGAAATTCTACTCCAAATGTTCAAGACAAAATCACGGTTCTAATTTTTTTTTATTTAGTTTTACACACAGACGACGATAACCTATGACCTTCTTTGAAGAATATTATAATAGGTAATTAACTTTTCATTCGACAGCGACAAAGCATATGGCAAGTTAAACTATCTGCACATAATACAATTTGTTTCAAAGGCATCCGTCATATATGATCAAATATCAGTTTTTGCATTGATACGAAGGATTATGGAAAGTATTGGTATTTATCACATTACACCCTCATGTACCTTATTTGCATCTATTATGAGAAAAGTGAAAGTAAATGGGTTTAGTCTACGATACCAAGTAATGAAAGGAATGTTACCTTCTCTCGACTGTACCTAACGCCAAATTTGCAGCAATCTTCCGATGCTAATTATGATCAAATATCTCAATCTTGTTATAACCTACAGTTTTGACCCCCTTGGACACAACAAGACTATGTCACTTTTTTCAGAATATCTGCGTTCAGTCTTGTTTGCTTCTGCCAACTAATTACATCACGCACAAGAACAACAGTTTACTTGTCATATTGAGTTATACGTCATCCCTTCCTCTCATTCAAGCCTACTGTAACGCGCGAGATTGTCACATTGTTTGCATTATCATTCTGAAGACAAAAATTTACCGCCCTTGGTCAACTCTTTCATTCATATGGGAATGAACCTTATTCACCAACGAGCGGTTCTTTGTGGTATTCTCTCTAATTCCTGATTTTATACTTCTCGATCTGTAATCAATTGATGTGATAAAATTTCGTGTTCCAAACGCTCAACTGTAACCGTTCAGTACAATTTGTTTAAGAACATAAGCTCATAATGAGTCCATATGGCCGACATTTCGTTGATAGGATTGTCGCAAAGACATGCGATTTTAATGAAATTTTGAAAGAGAAAGGGAATTTTAGTCACCTCAATCCTCTAAAATGAAGGTTGTTTAAATGGCATATATATCAAAATTATATCAGCCTCCAGATATAGTGACATTTTATTGCAATATGTCAGTTTTCATACTGCTAATATTTAACTTCGTTTTCAAATTCAATAATTCAAATCAGAATTTTGAATGCCAAACGATTATCATAATATTCAATGATAAGATATTATATATATGCGATTATATCTAATTTCTTACCCTCACTCTACTGGTTTTGCTACCGGTCTCTAAAGCTCTATACACTGTCTGGCAATGTTTATTCCGCCTGCTCCGAATTCATAGCTAACTGTGTGAGAAAAGCTCAACCACAAAACACTACCCGCCATTATATCGCGTTTCTTTGATAAGAGCCCGCGCAGCATCTAATTGCAAAAACAGGCTGTTTGTAGCGACATCGACCATCATTTCCTCTTATCGATGACAACCAGTTTTCCGTTTCTGAAAGACCGGTGCAGTTAAATGAGCCATTTTAAATTACACTGCTGGTATAAAGTTCCATAAGTATGACAAATTCCTAGTAATATTCTGATTGGAATAGGGAACCAACAATGTATAAGCAATCGTTTTGCATGTTTCCTCAAAAACTTACTGCGCGATCAATATTAACTCGAGATTTACGCGCTCTTCCACCAATAAACAAAAAAAGATTAGAACTTGGGCACTATAGAAGTAACAAAGACGACGTATTTAATAATTATTATCCGCCGCAGTGGGCCATATGATGATAAGTGAAAATAAATCTTGCATTCAGTGGCCTTCCAGCGAAGCTTATGATTTTCTGCCGAAGATGTCAACTGACAATATAGGGGTATATACTATAAATAGGGACTTAGTAGTAGTAGTATTTGGGTTAAACGGTTCCATCACATTTGACAATTGCACCTGCATACTATTGCACCTATGGAATTTTTTTCGTTTTACGGATATTTGAACCCATACTAACCATAATCCATGGGTTTTAGCACCCGCATATAGATTGAACCCGCGGCTATACACATGGGTTCAAATGTACGGCCACCGGTTAAAACTTGTTACATTTAGTAGTTTTGTTCTAAATATACGTATTTATGTCTTAAATAAGTTAGAATATGCAAACAAAATGTGACTAGGACGAGAATATTTTTCTCTCGGACGAACACCGGCGGATTGGCCGTCTCCTTTGATGTGGAATGCTCGGTTACGCTCCAAGTGGCCACCTACTTATGTATGTATGTATGTTTATTCGTCTCGTAAAAGCAAAAACACAGGAGTTAGTAAATATCAGCATTGAAGACGGGATGTATACACAAGAGACAAGACCATACTGGCCTAAAACACATGAACGTGCGCCATACACCCCTTATGATAAGCATAAAATGCAATAAATCGAATAAGTATAATATGGTCCTTCATACAGGCAGTTGTGCGAGGAGGGTGGATTAGGCAACATGGGTAACGGTGGAGTATGCCCTATCCTATTCAAGTACTAGAAAAATTCTTGGTCCCGGTTCCACATTCAACCTCAAACGACATTGTCAATTTCTATAATTCACGCTCGAGTTGACGGTAACGTGTGGACCGCTTAATCTCATCATCCCCTTGTTCACTGACAGATCCGGACGTGACACCTGTCACAAGGATACAGGGCACAGACATGAGCCCATATCTGGTATGAGAAAAAATATCACATTCTAAAATAAAATATTTTAATATTGCAACCTAATCTTTTGTTAGGTCATCGTTAACTTTCCCAAGCAACCGAATTACGTATAATTGTGACACCGAATATTGATAAAGAGAACATAATGTTTCATTCATGAAATTAATTTTAGCGGTATCTGGTGGATGTGAACTGAAAACAAAATAGGCTTCTTTTCAGTAATCAACATTCTGCATATACTATGACAATTTTCCTGTAGAAGGAGCGATTCAGCACGCATGGAAACCATAAAGCCACAATCCCCTTCCTTAATTCCCAAGATGGAGATCTAATCCTGGGGGCCACAACAATTCACATATATTGTTACTCGTTCAGAGAAACCTCAGAAAAAATGTTTTTATTTCCATTTCCACTAATATATAACTTTTATCGTTTGAAATTGAATTGAATGGGAAAATAAAAACGATGGGCTGCGAAACGTATTTATTTTTAATAAAGATATAGAAAACTTCAAATTTGAGTTTTCAAAGTTAAATGCCCAATCAAGTCATTAATAGAAGCAGGACCTACTCTCACAAAATCTCAATCATTAAATTGACACTCAACATCAACACAAAATAAAAAACAAAAGTGCTTATTATATTTTCATTATATATGCTGGTTCTACTAAAGGCAACCAGCAAACACTCAAATAAAATGCAACGATTCAAAACTTTAATATTTATTAAAGTAATGTCAGCAATGCTAATTGCTTTATTTATTTTATAGAATTATATATTACAATGTTCAGATAAACAATATTTTATGCACATATTCTATGTGAGTTGCAACAGTGTGTTTACATATATATATCATGTCAAATAATTGGTAATAAACATTGGCGCACGAATGAATAGTGCTCATTTAGTCAAAGCTGAAAAACTTTTGGCGATCATTGCACCAAAACTGTCTGGTTTTTCTTTTGACTCTCGAAGTTGTTCGTTCAAAAGTTCTAAGATATCATCGGATCCAGCTATGGCACCAATGCGAAGAAGATCAACCAAGTCGTGACGTCGTATGCGTATGAATCCAGCTTTCAATCGAGGAACGATTTCGTTTGGTGGCGTACGTAAGCGCCATCGCATCAACATCATATGCGCCTGAGCATACAAGTTTTGTGAACTGCTGGCAGAAGCAATAATCTGAGAAACCTGTAAAAGTCAGTTTTTCTAATTACGTATAATGGTTGGTTGTTTTGTAGGCAATATAATCACGTTTAAACTCATAGTCCTATATATATATATATATATGCATTTTCTTCTCAGTTAAAGCAAACTAACATATAATAGGAATTTTACAGCAAAACCAATATTGGGTTTTTCTCTGCTCTGCTAGTGTTTTGTATTAATCACATACAACGTACCTCATGTGGCAAGAATCCAATGGCATAAGCAAGACGTTTCCATTCCTCTCGTGCGAGCAGTTGTCGTGCTAGAAAACTAATTCTTTCGTCACTAATTATGAGAGTGCTTTCATAATACGGAGGTCCAGATCGATCTTCAGATGAAATAGTTCGTAGAATGCTTTGCATGCTCGGCGAAACTCCATATTCATTCTCCTCGAAGTCGCTTGCAGCTAAAAATAAATTGCAATTCCCATATTATTTCATTAACCTTTAGTTCACTGACTCATTTCCTAGGCTCGGCGGTGTGGCTCTCTGATCACCCTGCATGGGTTCCCAGGTTCGAATCCCATGTGGGGTTGAATATGAGAAGATATACGAGAGAGTTGCTGGATTCCTCGTCGCCGTAGGGTGGTTAACGTAACCGCTGGTCGGTTACGGCTTCCTCTAATATCAAGTCCATGCATCTGAATGCAAATAACTGACAAACTAATCCCATACCCGACATGGACTGGTAACCGGACTAGAGGCGTGGTATGAAATATGATTATGCCGTCTTATCAGCTTTCCTTCCATGGGGATAAATATGCAAATCCTAATCCTATTGAGCGAGTGATCTAGGTTTGATCTGCATACCTTACAAGCAAAGCAACAATTAGAATATTCACAGAGATATATTTATCATCTATCCTAAAAGGCTGTACGCGCACAACTTGGATATAGGAAAACTAGCTTCAGCATGACCGGAGAAGTTCTGCATGCCTGCCAATATTTCACTATTCGTGAAGTTGGTGATTTTGTTGGTTGCTTAGAGAAATGAGATTTTGAGATGCCAATTTATTACGCTATTCAAATGGTTGTGCAAAACATTAAAAATGAAACAAAATTGCATCCTATATGATGCAAAAATTCCCAAATTCAAAAAGCTTATTTCTATGCTATTTTGCAATGTTCTTTATACTTAAAATAAAAGGTTCCGTTTATGATTAAATGTTAAAGGTTAAAGTTCAATTCCGCATCAAAAATTTATGATTGTATACAATCAACATTTTTCCTATTTCTTCCTACCCAAACTCCCAATCTAACACTTTACCGAGGCATGAGACGACTGTGAACAGATAGGAAGTAAAAACTATTATTAGATAAAGTCAAACGATTACGAGTAGCAGGAAATATTATGTTGGTTTGCCATACTGGGTAATAAAAACAAATAATCACCGATTACTCCTAGTTCCAGTCCAATTTTGAGAGCCAGATCGTGTCGTCTGATACGTTTTAGCGCATCTGACAAACGAGGTAGAATTTCATTGACCGGCATCTGATCTCTCCATGTTCTCAGCATCAAACTTGCTTGACTGTAAGTATTTTGAGATGAACTAGCTCGTCCGGTGAAGTGTGATATTGCCTGAAATTACAATTTCATTCATTACCAGAATACTATGAACCTTAATGGCTACCTACTTTGGTTTACCTGTTCCATGAACCCCAAAGCTGATGCCAATTTTTGCCATTCATCATCTTTCAATGCTCTTGAAAGAGAGCTGACGCTTCTTTTGGGAAACACATCTTTCGGAGTTCTATCGTCACGTTTTCTTTGTGTTCTCTGTTTCTTATTTTTAGACGATTTTTTCTTCATATCTTTAGTGGATTTTTTCTTCTTTTTTGATTTTGCAGGAGTACCGTCACTGCTCAGCGACGAAGCTGAATATGTAGCATAAATAATGTTCAACCACCCTTACTCTAAAAACATCCCTTTCAGAACAGAACTAAAAAACTATTCTAAAAATTACATAAAGACTTCCAAGGATACTGTACAAGTACAACCACAAACTGAAACCAGTCGACAAATACGCCTTTATTTTTGTCAAGTTTCTAATGCTTTTCAACGTATGGCGACAATCATATTCTCACGTTGAAGAAAATGTTATAATATATACCTGATGGCTTGTGCTTCAGAGTAGACTTTTTTGAATTCTCTTCTTTCGCATTCTTCTCTCTCTCATTTTCAGATACGTCATCTTTATGCTTCGATTTTCGATGAAATAATTTAAACAAATCCATTGTCGACTAAGATAACACTAGAGAGGAATAATGAACCGAAATGCAACGTTATTTTGATAGGCAGTCAACTGTAACATCTCACATATTCTGTAAATATATATACTATGTGCATCCTTTTATAACGCGAATTTGGTTTGAGTTTTCAGTAATAATTTCAGAGCTCTCAGGTGTCGTTGGGCATAGCCAATTTGAATAATTGATGAAGAACGAAGTGACCGGGATCGATAGCCTGATATATAGAGGTAAGCTGCGTTCAGAACAAAACAAAAGAGCAACAAAAATCACTCGTTGTTACCGGGAATCCAACTTGTTTGCAAGAAATATTTGTGTGAGGTTTCTATAAAAAAGTGTCATGATATGAATAGCAATTGTATCTTGAATGCATGCCGCCATGCTGTTAAGTAGCCCTGTTTGTACCTTGCATCTTTTCAGGAAAAGACAGCCAAACGCAAAAGAACTATATTTTAGAGCGTGCCTGGGCCTACTTTTTTAATCTCTCAAAATCTTATAGATATATATCGATCTTGCTTAAAATAAGTTAACCCTACCCTTTTTTACTGAGATATTGCTCTGACATTTGAAGTGCTTTGAACGTGTCCTCATTACACAATATTCCAACGCCTCAAACTATCCTTATAGAGATACTTCAGTAATCTTTATCATTGTATCACTGTTATTGAAGCGTCGTGTACTGTATTCTATCCCTATAGGACCGCTATGGGTGAAAATTAGAGCTCTGTACCTGAAATATACATTCCAGAACTACATACGACTTGTGGATGACAATACTAGGTGTTCTCTCGAATGACATTTTGTGATTACTATAATGAAAAAATAATCGAGTAGCCGATACAAAACACAACGAATTGCCTGATTTTTCAACAGTGTACTTCATGAAAACTATCATCCGGATCTATTGAACTCGAGTGTCTCTGACAAGTAGCCGGTGCGTTACCTTGACAAAAATAATTAGGGCAAATCAAGCTGGCCCATCTTGTTCATGCATAGCTATACGTCAGAATAGCCCAAAGTGATATATGTATGTGTAGCTCTTTCTGTAGGTAACGTACCTCCTCAAGATAAAAAAAAATTGCGGAATACAATTTCCCGTGTATTTGAGACTAAGCGATAAAACTTCCTCGCTTTCGTGGGTGCAGACAATATTTCAATACACCTCTCATCCTACGACGATGTACACTATGATCTGCCAAATATATATATATTAGAAGTTCCTCAAAATCAAAAAAAAAATGTTATTGCGGAATACAGCTTTCAGTGTATTTAAAACTAAACGAAACTTATCTGCTTCCATGGGTGCAGATAACATTTTTAATACGTCTTTCATCCTTCGACGATGTACACTATGATCTGCTCATTATTAGTTGTTCGCAACTGAAGACTGAAATCTTCTAAGAACTTCCATTTATTAAATGTACTGAGGCTTACTTTAAAGCATTTAAATACCATTGTTTCAACACCAATTACCCTATTATTACGGGTCCCCGATCACAAAAGAAAGGTATACGGTTTACATCAGACGCGAACTTACAACAAAAGCATACGCCTTCCATTCACCCGACTGAGTACTTTTCACAAAAGGCATAAGAACACAATACTTAAATGGATAACACTATTATACTCCCTATTCGAAAATCTGGAAATATGAGGTAAATAATTATATGCTGGCTCATGTATGATCGGGTGTTCTCTGTCTTAAACTTTCAAGATTTCTTCACTTCGATTGGGTTCTATGTTAAACGAGAACCCAGAATAAATTGATTGATTTTCACAGTAAGACAATAGCATGAAAATACTAATACAAAATATACAAAGAAAACGGCAGCTGATACAATCATTTTAACTACGTTAGATGTAAAAACCATATTAAAAAAAATTTATATCCAATTGCTGAAACAAATTCACCATACGTTTTAATTAGACTGGCTAGTACACTGGTTCTCAACCAGTGGGATGGCCCCCTGCTGGGCCACAGGGAGATTTCGTAGTGGGCCACAGTACTATTGAAAACTGCTAGTTTAAATTGTATCACTATCCTTAATTTTGATTGTAGTACCAATGCTTCATTATGCTGTTTTCTGCTAGTGAATGGTAATTTTCCTTCTAATTAATAAAGGGGAAAGTGTCCATTTTCGCAGAAAGATTTTGATTTTTTCTCGTAGTTTTCCCATTGCAATAAAGAGTTAATAGGCCACGAGAATTTTTATGTAACGAAGATAGGCCACGAAAGAAAAAAGGTTGAGAACCACTGGGCTAAGTGTGACGGTTTAGATCAGGCCTGCACAACATACGGCCCGCGGGCCGCATGCGGCCCGCAGGTTATTTGGAAACACGCCACTTCTCGGGTCTAACAATCAAAGCCGGCATTGTTATGCAAGCGCGCCGCTACTCCGATCATATTCGAAATCGTGAGATTTAGGTTTTGCACTAGTTTCAATAAATATCAAACTTTGTGTGAAATTTGTGTGCCCTTAGCGACCTCTAAAATTCGTTGCTCGACCCCTCGCCCCCCAGTTTGGGAAACCCTGATTTAGATATCTCAGTATTCAGACTGAATCACGCTTAAAACAATATCGGTATACAATCTCACACCCATTAGTGCATATTAGCAACCTATTAATAATTTACATTATTTTTTACTAGCAGTTTATGAAACTGAAGTTTCTTTTTTGATCAAATTTAGAAATTAAAAAACAATTCCTTCATTTATGAATGGTGCAGAAATTCTGCAGATATTGCTATTTACTGTAAAATTTCAAATAAATTGGAGCAGATTTTGTAGAAAAATGTAATTTAACAGACAGAAATATCCAATAATGGTAGATATAACTAAATAAACTGTCATACATATATTTGGGACGTTTTTACAGAACTGAACCTGAGTAAAATATTTTCCTGCAGTCAGTTTTTTTACTGCAACACGCAATACCTAATTCTAATAAAAAAGAAATATTGAAAATGAAGGGTGGGTTTTCAAGGTAGATGAACCACATACATATTTGCCATCTCATATGCAAAAATACTGTACCTTGCTTTTACCCAAGAAAATAAGATTTTTCATATTTTTAAGCTCCCCAGTAATGAAAGTGTTTCATTAAATTTACCTGTTTCACAATATTATTTTGATTTGTAGTTCATCTTGTGAAATATGTATGTGGCAAGGTTTGCGGCCCGCCGGGCCTTCGGATTTATGCTTGCGGCCCTCGTGTTATTTGAGTTGTGCAGGCCTGGTTTAGATATTGCTACGGTGTTGAATAAATCAGAGACTCAAGATCTCGGATTGGTTGTTTATTGTATACGGAAACTTTACACTTAAAACAGCAAATAATGATCGCGAACACAACTAAAAAGCAGCTGACGTTCAGCCTTTCCCGACGAGAAAAACGCGAAAACTATTTTATCTCACACCTCACGTGTGGTTGAAATCCAGAGCCGGCTAAAACCGCATAAATCAAGGGCCCGAGAAAAAGCATACAGAGAAATATAAAAATAGATTGCCATTGTCATAAAAATATATTGAATTCCGTGACACTAGCCAATGCCGGATTTCCCTTTTTTTTTGCTTCACGATTGTGCGTTCCCATTAGGCTAGATAGGCCGGCTTGAAGCGGTTTCGACATTTAATTTTTAACTAATATTCATTTATACCACTTGTGTATATAAGGCTTGTGAAAAATATGCAAAATGTTACAGACAGTGCTATAATATCTATGACCCACACTCTCTCTTTTACAGATGAAATTATAATATGTGACCCTCCGATTAAAACGATTTTCCATCCCTTGTTTTGGGCCTCTCTCATTCATTAAATCTAGCCCGGCGGCCAACATATGAAATTTGCAGAGAATTGGTACCCGTGGCAGAGATCTTCAAATTACAGTTCTGCGCATGAACCTGTACTAAACTAAATGAAACTATAAATTCCATGGACGATTGTGATCGGTTTGAAGTAACAACATCCTTAAAGCGGTGACACATCTTCTGGAGCGCCGGTTTTCGTTTCAAGAAGAGTTATTTTCAATATTGTCATAGCCAATCTGTCTGTGACGTTAAATTTTGGAACGGAAAATGCAAATAATAAATTGATTAGAAAGTCCTGTGATATATCACTTGTAGTCTACTAGTTCAGTGAAATATCAATTAGGGTTTTTACCCCGTCACTGCCAAATTTCCCCAAAGATCATTGTATGATGTAGAATCATCCAAGGATTATTGCCAAATCACCTTTTAGTCTTTGCTCCAAAATCATCATTAATAGGGCTAGGAATGATTAACCGGTTATTTGAACCGTTAACTGACATCTCAGGTACAAATCATTTTTATAATGAATAGTTTTTCCAAAAATGATTACGTCATCGCAAATTTACCTCCTGTGGTGATTAATTAAAAAAATATCACCAATTGTATTGGTAAGGACCCAATGAATTTGAAAAATATTTAAGTACAAAGATTGCTAATTATGAAAATTTGACAATGATAAATTCAGAATCAGTTTTCGGTCGAAACATATTGTTCACGATTTTGCAAAATCGTATATTCAATGTCATCCAACAAGTGTGTAGTTGATGCTGTTTGCATGCAGATCTGATAAACCACGACATGAATCTGGTGAACTTTAGCCATGTTACCCAGTTTGTCCCGACAATAGGCACAGGCGACATTAAACTAGGGTTGCCATACGCCATATTTTTCCCTGACATGTCCAGGATTTTAGTGGTCAAATTTGCGTCAGCGAGAAATGTTAAAAAGTGCTTAAATGTCAGGGATTTTCGAATACAGTGAATCCCTGCTACAAATCCTCAAGTTTTCAGATATTGCGCATCCACGAAATCCTATTATTTCAGAGATTTGTCACATTCTAGCCTTTTTGTGAAACACGGATTAGGTCTCATTCAGATAATTGTGATATCACATTTGCTCTGTATTTATTCTATTTTCACGATATCGCAAATTTATATCATAATATAGGTGGTATAAATCAGGGTGGTCCAAGGTTGTCGGCTCCGCGGGCGACAAATTTATTTTCTCATTGTTCGCGGGCCACAATAGTGCCAAGAATAGATAAACAGTGCAATACAAAACAAACACTTTTATTGTGCAAACACATAGTTATCAGACATAGCCATCCCAGGCTAATAGAATCCGCATTCGATTTTTAGTTTTCTATGATGCCTATATCGTTAGCATATATTCCCGACCAAAGAGATAGAAAGCCAGATAATAATTTAGACTGCCATTCACATCATTCAACTTCGCTATTTGCCTCGGCTAGCCACAAGACTAGTCATTTCAGGGACATTAGTGATGTAACAATATGTCAAAAGATTTTTCTGGGCAATTTTATTACGAAACAACACGAAATGCGATTTATTGATTACTCTCCGAATGTGACACGGGTCACAGATAATGAAGCTGCGGGCCACTTGTGGCCCGCGGGCCTGGGTTTGGACCACCCTGATATAGGTAGGTGTTTTGGTTGCAACACAAATTAAACAACACACAAATGTAGCTGAAACAAACCTCAATTTGCCAAGGCAACCAGGTTAAATGAACTCAATTGAAACGCACCTTTTGGTTATTTGTTTATTTGCAAACATTGTGCAAAAAATATAGCAAAACAAGAAATCAGAACAAAGAGAGTATTATAGTCTTGCATAATAAATTTCCTATTACAAATGTTTTGTGGTTATAATCTGATGCTGTGGGTGGGTCATTTCTTCCGATTCAAAACCAAGTCTGCTAGAGAAGATAAAGCATCTTTTTCTTCAGAATCTACCAAAATATTCAAATGTCTTTTGGCATCCATACAATATTGTTGAGCGAGAAGGTGTGTACCTTCCAGGCCATCACTCTAGAAAAAACAATACCCTTTTTTCACAAACTGAACTCAAAGCCTACTCCCTGTCTACACTCCAACAGTATTCAATTATGTTAGGTTAGGATCTACATATTTATCCCGGTGGAAGGTATACCCGATGAGACGGCTTGAGCATGTGGGAATGTGCGAACCATGGCCACTCCACTGGTTACCAGTCCATGTCGAGTAGGGAATTAGTCAGCTAGTTATTCGTTTCAGATGCATGCATTTCAGCTTTTATCATATCCGACGTGAAAAATACTTGATTAGTAGTCATGGCTAATTTGGACTAATCATAATGGCATAGCATATTAGCATACACACAGCAGTCTGTGTATATTCAATAGTTGGAATTTGTGAATGCAGGAAAATTAAGACAAATAGCGATTTACGTTAAAATATGACTTTAAAATATTGGATATATATTATTGTTTCGCACATCCAAGAACACTTTGTAGGCTGTAGCTTTGGCTTAATTTAAGTGGATGAAAAATTCAATTTGCTTTACTCTTGCATACAATTATTAACTTACATTTCTAACCGCATCAAGAGTACGTTCTACATCACCCGGCTTTTTAAATCTTCTGAGAATCATGTCATGCAGAAATTTGTGCTGTAAAATATTATAGATAAATCAGCTTTTTGCAAATATCACTTTCCCTCTTTTGTAAAGTTATTAGTTTGCAAAGTACGAGAACAAAATTTGAATTGTTTGTCGCATCAAAAGTTTTTCTCCTATTTTAATGCATTGGATGTTAGGATAGGATTTACCATACATATTTATCTAGAAGAGGGGAAAGTGGATAAGAAGGCTCAATCATATGTTAACCATGGCCTCTCGTCCAGTTACCAGTCCATTTCAGATATGGGATTAGTTAGCCAGCTATTTTGGTTTCCAGAATCAAAAACTTGATGGTTGATAAGGAAGTCGTGACCGACCAGCGTGAACCAATCCACTGCAGCGAAGAGTCCCCCCCCCCTGGATTTGAATCTGGGAACCCACTCGACGTAATCGAGGTTCTGTATCGAGTGTATTCCTCAAATTAGTAATATTATGCAATCATTCAAGTGTGTATCAAAGCATATCTAAAGCAAACCCTAATACCTTTTGACAAGCAAATAATACTGGTGCTGTAGCTAATCCTAATCTCAAGTCCGCGGCAGCAGGTTTTCCAAGATTTTCAGCAGTCTGTGAGAAATCTAACAGGTCATCAATAAGTTGAAAGGCAATACCAATATTTCGGCCATATTCATACATTGCTTCAACTGTATTATTATCGCAATTGCTCAAAAATGCAACCTAGAAAAAATTTGAGAATTTGATTCGCAAGCAAGTTATGTCAATATTTCAAATGTATAACTGTAAAAAAATTACCATTACTATGGAACCATTCGAAAAAATTTAATAACAGATATAAAATTATTATATTCCTTTTTTTTTCTTGTAATTACTACCGGTATGTATAATGAACAGACAGTGTGTCTGAAATTAAATAGGTACTGCTGAGTATTCCAAAGAATCATATAATGTGTGCCTAATACTGCCAGAACAAAACCAAAATATTCGATTGGTTAAAAAAAACAACGAAAATAAGTGTCTAAAAATATATTACATGACAAAAATCATTCCAAATTATCATAACATTGAGACACAGTGGGTGAAATTGGTTGTACAAGTTTACTTACAAACACTGGCTCTGTTTTGTTATACAGAAACATGCAACTAAACAAAAATGTATATAGACTTGCACAATAACTTACAGCTTTACAGGAATTGGCAATAAGACTCGCAGTTTTTCTATAAGTTTTTTTGAGGTAGTGGTCAAAATTTGCATTCGTATCTATTTGCATGAATTCACCTGGAAGTAACAAAAAATTTAGAATGAAATAAACGATTCACAAGATAGAAAGATTCAGATAAAAACAATAAAGCTAGTAATATTTTGTAATTGGAATCAGACATCTAAAATAACTAACAAGTTACAATGGCTGGTGAAAAATTAGAATGCTAGTTTCTAAGGAGCGGTTATACCCTGAGTTTGAATCGATCTCAGACAAGAATTTGCTGATTTGAAAAGAGCTACCATAGTTTAAGGTTTCAGAAGTAGAAAAGTTAACATTACCTCTAACTAAATCATCAATGATTCTTGCTATCAAAGTAACAATTTCAGTTTCACCAATTGATGCAGTGAGATATGATGCCCGTGACAATACATAATTTCCTGCTAGTACTGCCTGTAATAGAATTATCAGTTATTTTTTAGATTGTTCTGAGATGCCATTAAGATGTTTGAGATTGATGAAGAATAATTCAGGTTTACTATATACCGTATATGCTCATTTTACCGCCCGATCTTGTTTAATAAGGGCCCGTTTGAATAGCCGCCCGTGTGAACAAAAGATAAAAATAAATAAGGGCTGGTGCTTGAATACCCGCCCGATGTAAAAGCTGATTTTTCAGTGGTAGAGAACAATAGAAAATAAGAAGCGCTTTTGTCACAATGCTGTTGAATTTTAAGCGCTGGTAGATAACACTCACGCCTTAAGCGTCCAATTACATAACAGATAGCATTGATTATGTAACACCGTGGTTCTCAAACTGGGCGTCACGATGCCCAAGTGCGTCGTTTCAATATTGATAGCGCGCTGCAAAACTTTTCTTTTATTGCGGATTTGTACCTGCATTGCGTAGAAAAAGCATGAATAATTTGCGTTAGACGTGAATAAATTGACATGGAAAAAGGATTAATGTGGTCAAATATTTGTCTGCAAAGATATCGTAATTTTTTTGTGTATAATTTTACTTTAAAAATAACAAGTGCAGGTGCTTGGGCCGGTTTAAATAAGGGCCCGAGTTAGTGAGTTTGTTTAAAAAAATACGGGCCAGGGCTACAAAACGAGTAAAGACGGTATATAGTAATTTAAAACATATAATTGTTATCTCCTATCGATCCATACTTTATAGCAGGGTTTCCCAAACTCAATCTCAATAGATACTCTTTGGACAATTTATAGATCGCTCGAGCACCCCCAAAGATGGTGTCTGTGCTGTGATAAGTCATGTGAATTGCGAATGTAGACACTGTAGTTATACTTCTATTGAGGTGAAAATTAGACTTTCTAAAGAGTTGCTAAACCAAGATCTTCAAATTATCAACACCAGGTGATAAAATATTTTAAAGCAGATTAGGAGTTATTGGAAGATATTTATTATACTCAATCTAATGTAGCCATTGAAATGTCTAAACTCTGAATATATTCCCAGGGGTACATCCGTACATGTACCCCAGTTTGGGAACCCCTGTTTTACAACTGAAAAACATGAGGTTTCAAAATCCTACCTCCAGTCTTCAACGCATATCCTTTAGCTTAAACTTCACATACAACTTCCTGTTTACAGCATATTAGACGCTGTGGAAGTCATCTAAATACTGCATATCCTGTCTTGTAATAACAATGCAAACATTAAAACAAAGATAATACTCACATTCCGATCTCCCCAAATATCATTTACGGTGTTTTTTCCTCTTCTTATACTGGACACGTCAACGACATCGTCATGTATTAAGCTACCCGTATGGATCATTTCTGAAATCATTGCAATTTTTCTTTGTTTTTCAGTGCAATTGGAGGATATAGAACTGAGAAATAAATATATGATAAAGCATGAGATAAAAGGATCTTTCAAAACACCAGCCCCATATTAGATAGGGTTAGATAACTTATTTTCTCTTTCATTACACTATTTCTACACCGAGCCTCTTTAAATTGGGGGTTCCAAACCCACTGTGGGTCTGCGAAAAGGCTCAATAGAGGTTGCGGTCGATAAAATCTTTTTCGACACTAACTTTTATTAAATATCAAATTATAATAATTTGGAACCAGTATTGAGACACATCATCACATGAATAAAGCCAAGATTCGATCTTTGGTGTGAAATTATGCAAGCACATCGGTATTGCCATTATTTTCTTTTCTAAAATTTTCTGTGTTTTAAATTTTATCTTATTTTTGAAATCCCAGAGAGCCACAAAAAAAATTTGGACGTGCCAAGTGGGGCATAATGGAAAAAAATTGTTCTATACCATTTTTCAATCAATTCTTTAGACATATTGTAAACTAATTCCACAATATGCAATTTTAATTCATTATGTATTACGAACAACTTGCACCAGGTATACAACCAACAAACAGTGCTGACCTAAAACTGCAGCTGAAAATAACCGTTTTTAGATGACAAATTAAAAATTAATAGAATACAGATTGAAAAACCTTTGATGTCTTGTGTGAGATGTGTTATTGCAAGCTCTTGCTGTTAGTAAAACTATTTTGGGTCTAATGCTTTTTCCTGTTGAATCAAAATAATAATGACACATCTTTTGTAATAAGGGAATTTCTGTGTCCATTACCTGAAAAATGAAACAATATAAATTAAAATATGAGCAAATTATAGAATTAATGAATAAAAATCCATACACATGGAAAAAACATTCAATCATTCTGCATACATATACGTATATTTTTATTTGAGTGAAATCTTCCCTTTTGAGTTAAATTGGATATTTGCAACAAATTTGTTACAAATTTCTTTTACAATATATATCGCCGGATGAGAACAGAACAGGCCTAAGTCACAATTTTGAGTTTTAAGAAAAAGGCAAAAAACAATTTGGAATTTTTTTTATTTTTGAATTTCTAGATATTCACACATAGTAGAGACCTGAGCTCTGGTTATTTTGATGTGAATGTGAATATCTTTGTAATCAATATTTTTTGGCACTTCAGCTTCAATTCCTTCCTGCTTTTTTAACCCCATAATGGACTTTGGGCCATTCTGTTCTCAACAACTTCTGAATTTTTTTGTATGGGATGCAAGGTAAAACAAGGTGACTTAGGCCTAAGTTGCACTAAAGAAATTTTTAGGATGTAAGTTTCGGACATTTCATTTCTGATGTTCATGCCCATAATATTGGAACTTGGGACTATCTTTTTTCAGTATTTTGAGTATTTTTTCAAAGTACCCATTCAAAATCGAGCACTCCACTTTTATTTCATCATTTTGCATATCAAAAAATCCCGCCAAAAAAAGCACATATAGCTGTATAGACATAAGCCGGTTAATTGCAGAACTGATCAGTTGATATAAGCACAATCTATGATTTGTAAAGAAGTTAACAGCAAATGAGTAATAAATCACTTTCAAATAATGAATTCTATTGTGAAATGATGTCAAAACAAATTAATGTTTCTACCACTGCTTGACAAAGTGGTACTTACCAACCTTACGAATATCAGAAAAAAAGTTGTTCATATCTTCTTTTAATAGATTTTCATAAGCTGATTTATTTTCCAGCCTTTGTTGCATATTTTGAGGACTTCTAATATCAGTGTGCAATAATCGTTGATTTTTCCCAGAAATATACTTGGGTATACGCTGACATGGCTGAGGTTTTAGAATACATGGTGTACAAAATAACTCGAAAACCGGAAATGTCGTCAACTTTGAAATTAAAATCTTACAAAGCATGTTTTTCTATCGTTAGCATAGCACTGAAAATAAATAAGTTCTGGTTTAAAATCGAAATCACACAAGAAATTAACATCACACTGTCACATCCAGACATCAGCATATGCAGATATGCTATTCCTGTACCGGTATTCACTCGTCTGCTTATGGACATATCGGTACCGGTACGGTGGGTATGCAGGTATGTAACTGCAGAACTTGTCCTCTGCTCTATGTCTATACTAGCCTACAATGGTTACGGTATGTCCCCAATACAGCAAAAAAAATTCTTATGTCTGTATGTGTCTACCGGTACTTAAATGGAGATGTCCGTTACGGCCCTCATACTGTTACAGAATGGAAATAGCCTACGTTCCCATTTGGCATTTCACACTTCGCGTGCAACCCCCCTGTCCTTCATAGTTTGCCAGACATGATCGCAATAACGAGGTCACAGTTCAAAATTACGCTGTAAGCATTGAGGTCACGTCACTTGTATTTCATTTTTGGACACGTAGTGAACATAACGATCGTTTCAGTATTATGTTGTTGTTCTTGTTCTTTGACACGTTACAAAGAAATTGCTCTTCTGTTTGATTACTGAACCAATTGCTTTGTAATTTTCAGTGAGTAAAGATTATATTTTTTGCTAAAGGGCTATTAGGCCGCGAGCCGAGGCCATTTATCTTTCAGTTTCGTAGCGCACATCAGGTAACTACCTGAAAATGATTTTAAAATGTTCCTTAGAAATTTAGTAACAAATATTGCCTTGTTCCCACTTCCAAAAGTTGCACGTTTTACAGAAAAGACGCTTTTACTACAATAAATATGTGTTACCATCTGTCCTATTTTCTCTGCTTTTCCGGTATCATGGGCCAATGAACGCAGACTTCTGCACAACGTAACAGTCAAGTTAGTCAGCTGTAGGTGGATCCCCAGTGGTCGGATGAATATCAGATGTACTCGACTGCTCGCTTTTGCGTTGAGTAGCCTTTTCATAGTTTTTTTCAGTTACCGGTAATATTAGTCCAGTTATTCTAAGGAGGTGTTGAAAAGTATAGGTAAGATATTAAACACTTGTATATCCTTGCCATAAATAGCAATTTTAGTTGAGCACTAGCTCATAAGACGTTGTTAAATAGGTACGGTGCGGTAACTCCAAGGAAGGCTAGACCTAGAATAATATGTCACAAACAACGATATTTTCTGGCTTGCATGAAATGTTTATGATTAATTTAATGACTCTTCTTGACTATTCAGCAGACTTATACTACTATATAGGCCACAGCATATTTGGAAATAGAAATGAATGGCTGTTTCTGTAATGCACGGTTGTGTGAAAGAGAAGAAATTAATCAATTTTACTAATGTCGGTTGGTCTAAATCTAAATTCATAGAGTCGACAAGAACCTGGGAAGCAATGATAAGTTATGCCGGAGTGGAAAGAAAGGTAGCATTGGAAATGATTGAGAGGTGAGAAATGAAGTTGTAGACAAACAGTTGATGTTTCAAAATATGGTCTATAGTCCATACGGTACTCATACTGTCATAGGACATTTCAGACTGTGATATATCAAAATTTAGTGTAGATATAGTCTAGTAATGGTATGCAAACACTGCTGGACTGTAGAACATGCAATGAGCATATATACGCTCATTTAGTACATCAGATAAAATGCATTATGTATTCAAGGTATTAGTTAGTATTTAGGGGTATTTTTAAAATCATGCTGCTCCAAATATTATTTTCTTCCTTATTTTAGATACTGTACTACAAAAGAAAACGGCAATGTTCCACCAATCCGACCTAACGCAGGCTCTGATCCCTGCTGCTATCAGTGCTATAAAATGGATTAAATAAGAAGTCTTGAAGCTTAAAGGTATATGAGAATCATAATAGTTGCAAACAGCTTAGATGGGCTATTCATATTGAAATACTTTAGCACTTTTCTGCAATTGGAACTGCCCATCAAATTCATGTTGGAGACTTCATTGAGATTTTCAATTCATTTTTTTCCCTCGACTATGAAGATCTTTTGAGGTTAACGAGGTATTAATAAATAAAGCTGAGGAATTTGAAGAGGATATGAAGAATGTAAATGATACCAGGGCACGTCTATTTAACACTGTCAAACATAAGGATTATACTCTCCACCCAACAATGATTCACTGAAGAAGCATGTGGCCCTCAAATCAGTTCTTGAGTTGGCAAACTGCAAAGAAAAATAGTCAAAATAATTTATGAAAGTGTGCCAAAATCAACTTAAATTGCACAGATTTTTGTTTTTGTATTGACTGCAGAAATCACAGTACACCTATAGAGGAAAAGTCGATTTTTGAGATAGTGGATTTCGAAAACAATTCAGAAGAAAGTGAATTAGATATTACAGTTGATTTAATAAGTATCATACAATTTTTTTTTTTTCGGACATTTGTTAGTGTCGTAGTCCTGTTTCTAGAAATATTATTGCCTTTGTTCAAATACATAACCACATAAACTAAAAAAAGATTAATTGTAAATTGTAATATTTCTGTTCACTATGTTATGTACATTCATTTAATTTTCTTGACTTTTGCGGTAAATTTCTAAGTGAGAAATAACTGATTTATTTGTGTTTTCGTGCTCATGATGTTAATTTGTGACTTCATTGCTTAAAAATAAATACGTTTGATACTTGATAGCTTCTATAAAATGGATGTAGCTTTTTATGCTGTTCTTGTTGTAAACTGCTTGTGGTTATTACATAAAATTTATTCTCAAATGTGAATCAGCGTTGTTGGTGTCGCTACTTTCGAGGTCACTCCCGACTCCTGTCACACAATTAAAGTATTTTTTGTTGTTGGTTACATGTATGCCATATTTTTCGTAATCTACCTAATAAATTATGATTGACTGAGGAAGTCCGATTTTGGTCAGGCAAAACATTACAGGAATACATTTGTGTTAGTGTGCTGTAGGGCTCTCGAATTGTATAGTTCTTATGTATGCGTTGTAAACTTATGGTTATTGAATTTCCGGGAACCTCTTATATTCAATTTCGCACCAGGATTGTGGAACAAGCTGTAATGCGTTCATTATGTTCGTTTTCACACAAAACTGAAGAATTTATTTAGTTACCAGATGTGCGCTACGAAACTCATTTTCTGGGCGTTTTCATGGTTTCGTCTCACGGCCCCTATCCGTGGTAAGGATCTACAAGTGTTTAATAATTTACTTATACATTTTTCAACAACGTCTTAGCATAACTTAACTAATAATAACTAAACAGGGCTATGGAAAGCCTGCCCAACTCAGCGCAAGGTCGAGCAGAAATAACTAATATTCATCCGCTCGCTAACAGCTGGTTTAATTCAATTGTTACGTCATGCAGAAGTCATTGTTCAGTGCCGAAAATGTAGAGAATATAGGACAGATCGCAGCACATATTTCTTGTAGTAAAAGCGTCTTTTCCGTAAAACGTGCAACTTTTGGAAGTGGGAACAAGGCAATATTTATTACTAAATTTTTAAGGAACATTTTAAAATCATTTTCAGGTAGTTACCTGATGTGCGCTACGAAACTCACTTTCTAGGCGTTTTTCAGGGCCTCGGCTCGCGGCCTATATTTATTTTTTGCTATGACGTCAACAAAATTATGTGGTGCTACGTGTCCATATAGTTGGGCATAGCTCTCTTGGTACTTTTGAAGTAAGGATAGGATAGGATTTTTACTTGATTTTTATTTCAAAATATTACAAAATGTACATGCATGATGAACTCACATATCTTGTCCATACCTGAAAATCTTTTATATTACGTAAGTCTATCGATGACGTCCTGGAACATTTTGTAGATATTGATTTCCATTATGACGTCATCATGTATATACAAACCTCACTATTATGTCACATTGTATTTCAAATGTTGTGTGAAATACAAAATATGTGATGTCAAAATTATTAAATGCTCCCAATGAAACCATGGATGTGCCACAGCTTAAAAATGGTTGGTGAGTTTAAATTAATATGTGTATAAAATGACAGTTAAATTATTATAGAAGTACATTGCTATCAATTATCATGTACTCGAAAATGCCCAGATCAGTCTATGAAACCTACCTCGAAGTTGAGTGCCGAATTTGGAAATTACAATCTTTTTAAAGAAATGTTAATGATTTCCTTGGATTGTTGTTATACAAAATCCAGGTCGATGGTACACAAATCTCTGACTTAGCATGAATTAAATCGGATAAATACTTCACCTGGATTGCGTTACACAGCAGTAAATTCAGAGCAATATTTCAATATAAATTATTGCATTTTCAAACTTCAGTCGTAGACTCGTAGTATAGTATTGAAATCCCAAATGCAATGAACAAACTTCGAAGACGACATCAATATTTTGGTGTAAAAATGGATCACGACATAATACATCCCAAATTTCCGTTAGTCATATTAAATTACGTGTTCGAATTGCTCAATCCTCATTTCAAAATATTGTCAATGGCACTTTGCTAATCAAGTAGGCTAAACGCCTTAGTCGCCGTACTAGTATTGTGTTGAGAAGCAACTTATGAATACACTAGAGGTGATAAGGAGCTACCATTGTTGTTCTGGGGTAAATCACGACAGTTTCATTATTTCCATTTCCACGCACGCCACGTAGAAGTGGAAATTCTAACTTTAGACTCGACTCGAATCATGAACGAATTGACTCGCGACTTCTACTAGATAGACATATTGACCCTACTTGGAACTTAAAAATTGAACAGAGAATCTTGACTTGAAACTGGAAGGTGAATTTGAGAGAGTTTTTGAAACAGAAAGGATCTTTCTGACGAAGCACCATTTTCTATATTACTCAATCTTGTATTGAAAAAAAAATCTACAAACTTATATTTGTTGAATTCATAAAATTGGCAGTTTTGATGATTAACTAAAAAATAAATAATATCAACGTGACTCGATCTAGACTTTTGATCGCAGTGAGTTGTCTTGACTGGAGTATCGAGCTTTGAACATTTTCTGCGGCCCGGCCTTTCCTCGAAACTCGGATGATCAGTCAATATATACACTAATGTTAATACGGC